CCGGGGGCAAGGGGTGTTCACGTATTAAATCACGGCGAGGCTCCAGCACCGGGGCTAAAGCGAGGGGAAAGGAGGTGCCGTTTCTCACCTCTTGATGTTGCCGAACATCTGAGCGTGGCCCAGGAACCTGCCGAAGTCGATGTGGAACATGTGGCCCGTGGTCTTGAGCATGATGTTGTCGTTGTGCCGGTCGCAGATGCCCAGCACGTAGGTGGCCACGCAGCAGCCCGCGCATGAGTAGATGAAGTTCTCCACAGCCTGGGACAGGAGGGCAGGGATGGAGCCGCCGGGACAAGGAGAAGGGCCGGGCGGCCCCGTGGTGGGCGCGCTGTCCCCGCCGTGTTGGGAAGCGACGTGTGCGGAGCGGGGACCCCGGCGCGCTCTTCCTCACCTTCTCGTACTCATCCTGCCGGGGGTTGGTCTGCTCCAGCCAGTCTGCCAGCGGGCGGTCCTTGAAGGAGCCCGTCACGCCGTGTTCCACCTGGATTTTGCGCAGGGTCTCGGCGTTGGGGATCATCTCCACCATGCCTGGCGGCCGAGAGCGCGCGGTGAGATCCGTCCCGCCGCCGCGCTCCGCGCCAAGGCGGACGCAGCCTCTCCTAGGCTGTCCCCATAGCACCGTGTCCCTGGTGGCCGTTGGCACCTGGGGACACCTCGCCGCGAGGGTACCTCGGCCGCGGCCCGTGGAGAAGCAGCGGAAAATGACCATGCGCATGTCCAGCCCCTCCTGCACCCAGATCTTGTTCATGATGCGGATCATCTGCAGCGTCAGCATGTCCTGCCGCAGGTCGTCCCCGCACTGCGGACCCCGCGGGACAGCGGTCAGAGCCGGGAAAAGGCAGGGAAGGGGCCGCGCGCGCCCGGCGGCGCCACGGCCTCACCTTGAAGATGACGCGGATGTTCTCGCCGAGGGGATCCACGTTCTGGAAGGAGAGCTTCAAGGGCACGGCGTTGGAGTTGAAGTAGGAGCAGTCCTGCCGCCGGCGGGGGAGAGAGCAGCCCGTGAGGGCCGGCGGGAGCGGCGGGGAGAGCGCGC